CTCGGGTACCTGAGACCATATAAACGGGGTCTAAGCCAATGAAAGCTCTTGAACTGTATTATCCAATGATCCAGTTTCTTATGTTAATAATAATAATAATAATTAGAAGGTGCAGAGAGTCAAATGCGCTTTCTAGTCTTGGTGTGAATAAACAGCTGTCTCTCCCCCTTACCCTCCACTCCCTTTTCAGAAAATTTGGCAATGTGCACGCGATTGATTAATGAAAATATGTTTTCCTTCCAGGAGAAAATGCAATCGCTTCGAATAAATGTTGGCGAAGAACTAAACGTAAGGAAAAGAAAGAAAAAAAGCGTGGTAGCTGATCGATTGATGGCATTTTTTTAGGATGACCTTTATGAAAAGGGCGATCGACTGGAGACTATCCTATTAATTACTGCCAGTCTGTTTTGAGTAATTTTTTTGAAGAGATCTTGGAAACAAGCTTAAACTAAATTGTCGCTTCTAAAACCATACGCGCCCACTTGCTGTGAAATGCAAGACGATCCCTAAAGCCGCTTTTGAATATTTCGAAGACCATCAAAATATTTTCATAGGAGAAGTCAATTCAATCCCCTTGTTTTTCTAGGTGCTTGAGAAAAGTTTTGATGTTGACATAAGTTTTTTTTTCCAGTTGTTATCTCTTCCGTCTTAGCTTTGTTGGTCTTGCTTCTGCAGAGAGTTTCGTGGACGCACCCGCAATCGTAGCCAAGCATTCCCATCGAAGTTATAACGAGCGTGTATCGACTGAATAAATTATCTTTCGGAATTACAGTAATAGTTTCCTGTTGGTAAGGCCAGAGGCACACAAGCTAAAACAAGTTGAATATCGAGCGGTAAATTATAGATGGAATGTCAGAATACGACAATACTATGAGGAAAGACATAACGACAACATGTATAATTTCCCAAACGAAGCTAGTCGACCGGTCCCTGTTGCTTCGCCGAGCAGTGCAAGAAGCAAATTGAAGAAAGAAAGCGGTTACCATGTAGAAAGTTGGTCTTCTTCGCCTTTGACTAGAGAGACGCTCAAGCGAAATGCGGAAGAAGGCAAGAGAGAGGTAATTAAACGAATATCTAGCGTTCTTTCTTCTTCTCTGTAAAGATCACAATTCTTGTTTATTGCGTGAACGCCATGCTAAAACCGTTTCCTGCTGGGGCTTTGTCTCCACGGTTGATGAATATTCGTTGAACCATGTATGATACCTGTATACGTGTACATGTCCTATAAAATGCTACAGTTTAGATGCCGAATAATTCTCACACTTTCTGTATGCAAAGTCAGAACCAGTTGTTGTTGAGTAAATGACTTCTTCTTTCAGTACCAAATCGCTAGCTACTCATAGAAAAAGCCGATATCAATAGTTTAAAATTATATTTCGGAAGGTTACTTGCAGTGCAATTAAAGGAATGACAGATTTCTTGGGCAAGTATGCTCAACTGGTAAAATCGAATGGAATGATAACTGATCAGTGTTGACATTCTGGATTGTGTTAAAAATGTTGCCAACCGTGTTCGCTTGTTCATTCTCGTGTAACGCGATCTGGTGTTAACTTGTTTGGAATTTTTTAGTGACTAAATGTACTTTGAAGTTTCTGTGTGAATAATTTCACTTTCTCGGAAAGCGAAATTTGTCTGTGAATGTATCGCTTTTCGCTCAGAACAGGCTCCGACAAAAGGTTATCCTGATCCTAAAGATATTCTTCAATTTACCGACAAACTTCGTTTAAGTACACGTTTCCTCTTCTTTGGGATGTAGATACTTAAATTAAAAACCCTAGACAAGTGTCTAAAACGGTATTAAAAATAGCCGACATGAAAATTTTCTTTTTTTGGTACAGCACAGAGAGGTGAGATAAAATTGCTGATGGAAATTTAATTTGATTGAAAGACAGGTAACAGCGGAGAAGCCGTTTTCAAAATTGTCAAGGACTTGTTTTTGTCTAATGTCAACTTCATGTGACATAATTGTGGTCAATGTAAACAAAACTGAAGATCAAAGGCTCTAAATGAAGTGTTTGTCAAGCCATATATGCTAATTTTATATGATAAGGCACCTGTATAACTGTATTGAGGTAACTGTGATCCATATTTTATTTTCATTCTGAAATCTTCTGAAGGTTGTATTTTGGAAGGAAAATTGTGAATACCATGAGACTTTGAAATTCATCTATAATTTATATTGGTAAATGAACCCAAAACTTAGCTTTAGTTAATTTTTTTTCCATTCCAGCGGTAAACATTACTAAAAATTTAACTCCATTTTATCCAAAACAAGAACCTTTACTTGAAAAACTAAAAAGTATCACAATTGTTCCAGTCCATATGATTCAGTACTTTTTCTCCTGAGTATTCAAATGCACAGTCTTTATAACTAAATAAAATAACAATGTAATTCTGTATACTACTCCTTAAAACTCAGTACAACTAAATGCCTTGTGTTTGTAAGTCAAGTGAAAAATTGTGGATATTGATCAGGGCTCAACGCTAACTTTTCAACTTACGAGCCAAGTGGCTTGTGACAAATTAGATGTTACAACAATTTCAGTTTGTTTACCAGCCAAACTGGTTAGTGGAAATAAAAACCACAAGCCAAAACTGAATTTCTACTAGTCTGTGGCTAGTTGGCCACCGTAAGTGTAGAGCCCTGTTAATAAAATCCATTCTCTTCTCTTATAATCACAAACCTTCAACCCAAATGTTGTTATACAGAGGAACTTAAACCCTGATTAAGTCAGTGAGCTCTACAGAAGTGGTAAAGGGTACTGGTAGATTATGAGACAGAACATAGAGTGCATGGACATTAAAATGGCCTGAGGATTAAATACAAGTGAAGAAATGATCCCCTCAGTAAAGCTGTGATCAAAGAAATTGAAGAAAAGAAGCCTTTAAAAAATTCAGCAGGCATCTGTCAAAACCATAATTTTTTCAAGTTTCTTTTCTTTAATTTCTATATAGCAGCTTACCTGTGAAGATCATTTCTTTGGTTTAAAGTAAATATATTAAGGAATTTTTGCAGTTACAGAAGAATGAAAACTCACACCAATTCCTAAGAAGTTAGCAGGTTTCTTATTTTAGCCAGAAATCCAGTAACAGCAAGCAGTCAATATCTTTTCTTTTCATTCACTTTATCTAACGATGAGACCTGAATGTTTAAAGTTTTGGGTAAAATTGTAGTAATCTTCTTTACAATAAATTGTTTCTCCATTCAAGAAATAGAACTTAGAGTTCAGAGTTGGCACCAAAAAAGTTTTTAACCCCCTAACTCTCAAGATTTTATTGTTAATTCTCCCCTCTAGCTGCTATACTTTTCCTTGTTAGTCAGTTCTGAGAATTAGGTGTTAGATCAAGATAACAATGGCCACATGATAAGTTTTGATATTCTCATCATTCCTATGCTAAATAATGTAGGATATTATAGGGAGAAGTAACATGTTAATCGCTTCTGGGAGTTAAAGCATTGAAGGGGAGAATATTGTGTCAAATACTCCTCATATGACTTCACATTGGTTTGCCTTATTTTGTGTTATTATAATTGTAACTATACAAGAGTTTAAGAACACAGTGTGCTTTATTAGCATTGCTTCAATGCTAAATAGTATTTGGACATTTCATTAAAATACTCGGTAATCCAAATATACAGATTTATCTTAAATAAGCTCTCATCATTTTTGCAACAGCTCATTTTAAAATTAGTGTTATATTCTACTCTATTTTAAAGAGAACTTCCCACAAATGAGAAATATAAAGGAACTTCCTTGGCATTTCTTAGAAAATATAAAAAATTTGACATATAAGTGTTATTAATTTTTGAGTGCAAATCCTCCAAACCCATTTCATTTTCTACCTCTGTCTTGTTTCCACGACCATAATTGCAATAAAATTAAATGAATTTGGACTGGTTCACATTTTAACGTATCACACAGAAGGAAACCAGTCTAAATATACTTAGCACAGCAACCAGATTTGTAATCTCTGTGTCACATCAGATGGGAACTTAATTGTGTTGTAGTTGACAAATCAAATCATATCAATGGTGATACTTTTCTTTGATTCAACTTCCAGAAAACTTCTGAGCTTTTCAGCTGGCCAACTGCATCAGTATGTTCACTTTTCTGCCTGAGTAACAGTCAATATTTAGAATCACTACTTTTGAAAAACCAAGGTGGCCTTTTCCTTGACAAAATCTTGCTCTTCTCTCAACCTCTCTCAATTAGAATGGATGCAATTTTCTTCTTTCCTAATGTTTTTTTTATTTTACTCTCAAGGAGTCCAGAAGTGATAAACTTAATTTTTACGTATATGTGCACGATCCTTCGCAGTAAAGCACTATTTGAGCAATAGTGAAGATCAGACCTGAAAAAAATTTCAGGCCTGTACGGGATTCGAACCACTGACCTCTGCGATACTAGTGCAGCGCTCTACCAATTGAGCTAACAAGCCAACTGGGAGCAGGCCATCAAATTAATTCGACATAAACCCGTAGATGATAAATCAGTGGTTCGAATCCCGTACAGGCCTGAAATTTTTTTCAGGTCTGATCTTCACTATTGCTCAAATAGTGCTTTACTGCGAAGGATCGTGCACATATACGTTTCATAACCGCAGTTCATACATATGTTTCATATGTTTGTTGTTGTTTAAACTTAATTTTATTTCTAAAAATTTCAATACGTACTTAATACCTGTCATTTATAAGTGTTTTCTTAATAAAATTCTTAATTCTCCTCACTATTTTTGACAAAATGTTTATGTATCAGAAGGAAGATTTGCTAAACAGATCTTGGGACTGTGGGGTGTAGATTAAGAAAAAAAATTTATTTTTTGTCTCCTACCCCTACTTAAACACATTCTTGTCCCAGCTAATTATTAAGTATCTGTGAATTTTTGTGAACTACATGCTACATTCAGCTAATAGCTTGAACTAGACTTATTCCATGAAGCTTAGGCCATGAGACTAATTGCATTATCAACATTGCAAAAGAAATTTTATGTAGCATTCAAATGTGTGAATGTTTCTGTTGTTAAGGCCCTTGTTGAATTTGTTGTGGAGATTTGAAGAAAAAGATTTATAGATTCTATTGAAATTTTATTGTAAAGTGAATAAGTTTACATAAGATTTTAATTGTAATTGACCATATACTTTACGTGAAGTTGTGATTTTAATTAGAAAATCTATCTTCTGTCACTTTCCAATTGTAGTGGTGCATGCTTTCCCTTGTGGGTTTACTTTCGTGGTTTGACTGTCTTTTCCGTTCCTCCAATATCCATTATTGTTATGCAAAATTTGATTCTTTTAGAGGCAGTCAACCATAAACAGCAGCCCTGTATTACCAGTCCAACTTCAATTTCATTTCTTAGTTTGGTTCCTTCATAGTATTTCATTTTAAGTTGTCTGGATTTGAAATGTTTCAAACATAATTTGAATCCAGAGACGAAAAGCTTCTTTGTGAGTTTATTATAATGCCAAGCATACTGGTTAACACTGTAGTTTTCTTAAGTGGATTTCTTAATGGTGAACAGAACATGTCATAATCTGTGTGTAAACAAGAGACAAAATGTCTGACATGGAGAAAAATCATTCTGAAGGTCTATTTATGGTAAACAGTTTTTGAGTTGTTGAATCATTTTGTATGTGTTAATTACATTTGTTGAGTTTTCTAACATTTTATTTTCTGTCTTTAACTGTCATTATTAGGAGCAATACGTTGCGTGGGTGAATTCACAGCTTAAGAAAAGACCTGGCAGCCGTTTTGTTCGCGAGATCCCACGGGACACGAGAGATGGTGTAGCTTTGGTTCAGCTTGTGGAAGTGTTGGGTAAGTTCTCGGTCTTTCTTACTAATTTTGATTTCATGCACTCAGCTTAGTTTCATACACTTCATTGCACTGAAGTGTAAGAACACTGTGATACCTGAGTTATCTGGTGCAAATATTGACTCTGCTATTAACAACTGTCACCTCAACTTAATCAAAGACTAATGAACAGTATGCATCCTTATGTGCATAAAATTGTAGCCCTAGCTAAGCCCATTATAAGTCAAAATTAGTGGTGTCTGGATCCAGTTTCACTGAAAGGACTTTGAAATATTGACTCTGCCATTAACAACTGTGATCTCAACATAATTAAAAACAGTTACTAAATAAACAGTATGCATCCTTATGTGCACAAAATTGTCAGTTAAGCCTTAGATAAGCCTATTATAAGTTAAAATTAGTGGTGCCTGGATCCAGTTTCCCTGAAAGGACTTTTATATTCTATTCATGTTTTCCTCTACTGAATGCATACACATTATTGTATTTGTTATTATTTAGGCCATTGGCAAAATCAAATTTTGGAGTAGTTATGGACAACCAAAATTAACTTAAAGATTCATCATTGCTATGGTTAGACACTTGGTAACTAAATTTGTTTGGGAATTGTATAATCATGATCAAGATACAAATTGTGAATATAATTATTATAATAATAATATCAAGTGTCTGTGTTGGTCTGACCTATTAGTGATAACAACTGCCAAGTTATAAATTGTCAGGTGTTAGGGGTAAATTGCTGTTTCATCACTTGTAGATCACCAAATGTCACTAGACATTTAAAATTTTGTCCTGATCAAAACTTTCTAAGTGTTAGTATTCCTTGATGTTATGAAGTGAATTCTCAAGATCCCTAGCAGGAAAATTTTGTTAATCATTCAACAACTGGTGTAAAAGTAGTTTATTTAGACAGATTGTGATGCTTGAATTTTCTTGTAACAGGGCTTGAGATTAACAGTAGCCAACTAGCCACTGACTGGTAGAAATTCAGTTTTGGCAAGTGGTTTTTATTTCCACTAGCCAGTTTGGCTAATAAACAAACTGAAATTGTTGTAACATCTAAGTTGTCACTAGCCACTTGGCTAGTAAGTTGAAAAGTTAATGTCAAACCCTGTTGTAATGTGTATTTTTTTCGTTTTACTACTTGATTAGCAGTTAAGACTTGAAAAACAAAGATTTTCAGTTACTCTGCAAAAATCCACACCCCACCATAATTCTAAAGTGCATTCAAAATGGGCACTTGATAATCCCTCCCTATTGATATTTTTACATGGACTTATGACTCAGCATGCTAAATTGATCTCTCCTAGATAGTGAATTTTAAAAAAATGCTTTGATTTTTCACATTTGTTTTCACTGTCATCAAACCAACTGTAACACAGAATAACTGCATCCATTGGCATGGGTCTGTGCCAGGTGTTTTCTTTTCCTCTCTGTAAAAAATACTACTGTGCAGTAACTTATTTTTAAATTAGTGGATAGTTATATAGTGGCCACAATGGGAATATATGAATAAATTTGTAGTATGGTCTGCCGAGCATGACAACTTTGTTATCATTAAAATACTCTGTCTAATGTGTTAGAGCCATGTATGCATTGAAAATGTAGCTTTAGCAGGGATAAGAAAGACAAATTATTCATGAAAATCTTGTTAATAGTGAAATGAGTTGTTACACAGAGCAGGATCGGATCAAATCATTTGTTTGGGATTAATATAAAAGTTTTGTAGATCATACTGAGGAAAAATGCAAGGAATTCAAAAAGAGTAATTCAACCAATTATCTCATACTGTGACAGTGAATTTAGCAGCTTGAGTTGAGGAGTATTAATGGACCTTTTAACCCTCGAGAGGGACCAGCATCTAATTTCTCATTAAAGTAATATTGCTGAATCAGCCATTAATTAAGGCAACAAGAATGATCAAAGTAAATGATCGCCAATCTGAGAAGATTGGGTTGTTAAAGAAATCCTCCTCATTAGTACCAAAGGAGAAGTGTAAAGGTAAGTTTGAAGAATATCACGGTTTCTGATGTTAGGGTGTACAGGGTTCATCAGAGAGTTTTTATTGACACTTTGTTATCATTATTTTATGAACTTGAGAATAAATGAAATCCAATTTCTACTGCAATATATGTTGTGCATCAATTTTCACAAGGAATTTATAAAAAGGGTTAACTTAAAGTTCCTTCATCTACATGGTGACACTTTGCACTGTTAACTCAAAACTGCTTAGAACTGATTCTATTCTTTGGGATTAGTAAAGGGACTGATTATGTAATAAATTTTTTTTACTTGGTTGTTTCCTTACTTTTTCAGCTGGTGAAGCTCTGAAGTTTGATGACTCTCCAACAATGTATGCAGCTAAGAAAGAGAATGTGGACCAGGTCTTACATTTTATGGCCTCCCAAAGAATTAAAATGAGACAGATCTCATCAAAAGGTAAGTCAAAGAGTGACAAACAGACTGAAGTCACTCACATTTTAGGCTCCAAATTTATGAACAGTTGGTCGGTGGGTTGGCTGGACTAAATTATTCAGTTTCAAATAAAGTGCAGTATTCTGTGACCTCACATTGCTGGTCAAGGACTAGGTATGGCAATTAGAATGATCTAATCAGGGCTCTGAGGGCCATAATTATGTCTGATGAATAGAGTTTTCTCTTTTTCAGAAATTGTGGATGGGAATGTAAAAGCAACAATGCGACTTGTACTTGCTCTGGCAGCCCACTTCAAACCTGGAAGTGTGAAGCCGACTTCACATCAGAGTGGTTCACCTTCACAAACCAAGCTCACTCGCAGTCCATCTGCTGCAGCAGCTGCGGCTGAGGCTGCAGCCGCCATTGGTGAAGCTAGCAGGAAGGCGGCAAGTGCTGGTCGTCAAATACACATGCCATTCAGGCTCAGGTAATGAAACAACCATTACATCAATGGCTGATCATTCCAAAAATAGCAGTGGTGAGAAAACCCTTGCAAAAAGCATCCTGCCGGGTGTAAGCTCTAATTCTTAGCCATACTTATAAAATTGTTTTACTGAATGCCCTCTTGGAGTATCAGTTTCATTTGGAAGGCACAGATTTCTCATAAGCTGGAAATTCTCACTATTTTGCAGGGGTGTTGAATTTACCACTTACCAAGGTTAAGACCCACTACCCAAGGCTTAGCCAGTAGGATTTTCTTCTCATTGCTCATCACCAACAAGTTCTCTTGTTTTTTAATAGAACACAAATAGAAGTTTCCTATTTGTGGTCTCTCTAAAAGGCATTCTAGTTATTTCTAATGTTTGCACTGGTCTTTTAATTTTCAGAAAAACTCCAAAGAACTTGCCTGTAATACCAAAGATGGAGCGGCCTCCTTTTGATGCCAGTCCAGGGAGCAGCCCTTTACTTTCTGCTTCACCCCTTAATACACCATTAAACAGAACTCCTATTCGCAAGATCAGTAGGCCATCAAGTGCAGAATCTAGACCTGATAAAGACAATGGGTCAGATGGCTCCAATGTTAGCAGTGCTGCTACCACACCCAGACTACAACATAGAGACCTGGCAGCACTTCATTCCATGTCTGATTCTGAGTCCATTTTATCCAAGGATGTGGCCAGAAATAGCCATTCCAGTACCTTTCCAAATTTTGAGTTTCTGCAGGAAGTAACTGAAGGATTGGAGAATATGGAAGATGAAACAAACAGCGTAAAGGAAACACTGTTGCATTTACAGAACTTGGTGAGTTTGGTTTGTTATTGTGGTCTTTTTGCTGCCTCAATATTTTTTGTTGTTTAAGAATTGAGAATTTTTTTTGATGTGAAATTGAACTTGGGGCATAAAAAACTGACAAAAACCACCAAGTAATTAACCCACCTTTGAGTACCTTTAAATTAAAATAATATTATTGGTAGCCACCTCTGTCAGTGACATCATCCAACATGAAGGTGTATGATCATGACCAGTAGAAGTTCTGCCCCATGATCCTCCTCATTAAAACCCTTTCACTCCCTAGATTTAAATATCAATTCTCCATACTGTCATAATTTGAGCTCCGAGTGTTTGAAGTTTAATCAAAGATTGATCATCCCCTTATTGATTCTTTCTTTCCTTTCATCACCTTTCTTCCAAACAATGTACTGATTGTGTGAAGAGAAATTCCTTTTTTAGTCACTTCTCAGAGTATAAGGGTTAAAAATGGGAAAGTACCTCAAGGGTGTCATTAGGAGCCAGTTACTAGCAGTCTGCCATCTATAACACCAATCTGCTGCTGTCTGTTTTGTCTGTG